CTGATTGCGCCATGACAAGACGGTGTGTGAGAATTTAGAAGTGCATGCAAGTGGCATAATCTACCCGTCAGGTTGTTTCAAACAAATCAGACCGAACAATTTCCCAGAAATAGGTTGACATTCTATATATTATAATATATTTGGTTATGTTGTAGTATGTTATATTGTATTGTGCTAGACTTTATCATCTTATATGCATCGTGCTGAATGGGAAGCTCTCCACCTCTCCGTCGCTGGGTAATGCTGCGTACTGCTGCAGGATACCCAACGCACGCAATGGCACGTGCCGGATGGCTGGACACTGGAGGCGGGTTCACCCGGTGGGCTGCAGGGTTTAGGGCTTAGGCTTAGGGTTTCGGTCGGGGCGTTACCAGGGCTGAAGTGTGAGCGCGTTTGGAGTGCAGTCGTCCTTCCTACAGTTGCAGCAGCATTTCCGTATAGCAAAGTAGTATACATATGTATATATACATGTATATACATATATATATATATGTATATGTATGCATGATTCTATGAAATTCGTAGGTCATGTGTGTTGCCAACTAAGACCGTCGGCGCAGCCGCTGGGAATTCGCCCAGCAGCGGAGCAGAGAAGAGCGCAAAAAAGTTTGGTGTTGTTCAGTAAGGTGAGGCCCTAAAGCCTCTCGAGCCCTGATCCTTGTCTTCACCTCGATCAAACTGAAGTTCAGGGTTCAGTAGAAACCGGTTCGGCTTAAACCTTGAACTGTGCCTGCAGAGAGTGTGCTGCCCGAGCCCGTCCTGCAGTGTTGGTTGAGTGTGCGGTGCAGTTCCGTGGCGTTTCATCAGTCCACCGGCGGCGGCAAAGGCCCCGCATTCCGGCAAACAGCTCCTCAAAACAAGCAAGAAGAAAACCATAAATCGGTTTAGGGCTTGGGGTTTCGGGTTGGAGAGGAGCCTGGGTTGAAAAACTTAGGGTTTAGGGTTGGAGAGGAGCCTGGGTTGAAAAAAATCGGGTTAAGGGTTAAAATCAAGCTTGAAGATTGATTGCCTACAGCCTTCTTGCGTTAGTTTCCACCGGAGCGCGCCGATGAATTCTACTGCCTCTTCTTCGCTGATCCGAGGCGAGGGGTGTGTGTCCACTGACCCTAAACCCTATAAACCCTACAAACCCTATAAACCCAATAAACCCTATAAACCCTGTAAACCCAATAAGCCCAGTAAGCCCAATAAACCCTAAACCGGTAGTACGTCGCCCTGTGGCAGCTCTGTGGCTGCCGAGTTCCCCCACTCTGCTTTCTTCCTGACATGCAGACTTCGTTGTTTTTTTTTCTCACTGTGTGCTTTCTACAAGCCAGGGCGTGTCCCAAGGAAAAGATTTTCTGTTATTAGATTGAACCGTCTAACGATGGTTTACGGCCTTAGGGTGTTGGAGATGTTTGGGCTTTCCGCGGGGTGCTCACCTGGAAGGTTCAGGGTTTAGAGGGTACAACCCCGTAGGTCTGTAGCCGTACCTGGGTTGTCATGGTTTCTCGCACTTTGTCTCAACCCTCACCCACTCCCCTCCCTCCCCTTCCCCCACCCGCCCCCTCCCTAAACCCTAGAACCCATTATCCGAAACCCAACTCCATCCTTGTTCCAGGGGAGTCAGACTGGCGTGAGAAGGCACCGCGGTTCGTGATCCGCGGCTTGGGTTTGCCACAGCTTCTCATGGCTTTCTGGAGGTTCTACGGTTGGAACCATGGGCTAAGGTTTAGGGTTTAGGGTTTAGGGATCGGCCATGGGCTTTAGGTATAGTGTTTATAGGGGTTATATAATATAGAACAAGGGACCCAAATTTAAGGGCGCGTACTTGGAACCTTGGAGAGGTCGTGGGGTGGAGGGTTCCAGCATTGGGAACCTCCATGGCTCCCTGCAGATCAGATCCTTGCCCATGATGGCGGCCTGAAGGGCTGCCATCCAAGAGTTGTCAGTGGTCGTGTTCAGGGTTGCATATACCTGGCAGCTTGCTTGAGGAGGGAGGGAGGGAGAGAGAGAAAGAGATTGGCGGGCTGAGAGTTCGGGTTTCGGGTTTTCGGGCTCTGGAATGTTCAGGGGTTCGAATTCGGAGGTGTTTTCTGGGACAGGCTTTCCATCCAATTCCTCCCCAGTCCTGCTGTTGTCCAAGCCTAACGCCCTAGCACGATACTCTAGTAAAGCAAGAACTCTTCCAGGGAACCTCGGGGCTCTCATGCAAGGTAGAGGGAACTGCTAGGATGCCCAGAAACACTGCGCTCCCGAATTCCAGTCCTCTCCATAACCCCCGCTTCTCTTGCCTCTTGAGACCCCAGCCCAGGGACGCTGGAAGACGTCCGAGGTCTTGGGGCAGTGAAGGAGGCAACCCCTGTGCCTCCGCATACAGGGAGTTCCCATTTCTTGAAGCTCACTCTGGGTCCAGGACTCTCAGCCCGGTCAACCCCCACTTTCTTGGTGCGCCCTATAAGCCTTGGGGGGGGGTGTGAGGCTGCTGGTGGTACAAAAACAGCCCACGGCCCAACAGAATGTTTCTCAAAGTCAGTCTGTGTGTCACAAAACCCACTTCGGTCTTTGTGACAGCATTTCACGTCTCAGCTGGGCTGACCAAGACCATAATGCATCCAAAACCATGAAACTCAAGTTTCAGGAGACTTCCTGTGCAGTAAAGCACTCGGTGCAGTTTAGCACTTTACTCGGTGGAAAGCTTCGGTATGGGGCCCCAGGCAACAGAAACCTGAGCCTGAACCTTCAGGTATAAAGCCGAAAGCTGAAACCCCAAAAACCTTGCTCAGCCTTTAGACTGCCCCGTCAAAACGGGCGTCGGGGCCACGAGGGGCCTCGAACCCTTTACACCTGTTATCGGCGTACCCTCGGTGTGTGCCGTGTGAGCCGGAGCGCGTGTTGCGAAGTGCCTTTGCTTGAAGATGGCTTCTGAAATCTGCGGCGAAACTAGGCCTTCAAACGTCCATGGACCTTCCTCAGACCCTCCTGAACAGGACTTGTGGAAGCAAACTCTGCAATTTCCCCACGTCAAAAAAGTAGAAATTCTAGCACAACTGAAGGGCTCTGCTTCCGAAAGAACACCCTCTATTGAAACAACGGCCGTGGGAAATGAAGGATAGTGAAGGAGAGGGTGCTTTTTAACCGATTATACGCTTACAAGGCCTTTGGGCTGTGGATTTAGTTTGTGATAATGTAAGTGGTTCCACAATACTCAAACGTAATACTCTAAGAAGCTCTATTCGGTTAGTTTGTGCAAATATACTGCTTTAGTCAGCGGGCATTTTCTTATTCACCACATGATTTACGAAATAGCCCCCAAAGACCATAAATATCTAGCACCCGATTATGAATATTTCTCTGAAGTAAATCATGAATCACCTTTGGGCCATGAGTTTTCTTCAGATAGCTGACCCCTAGAAATGTATATCGGTGTCCGCTACAACCTAGACTATCGGCATCCAGACGATGATTTTGTGCGTAACGCCACAACACTTTCATTGTTTTAAGCTAGGGCCATTCACAAAGCGTATGTTCGGAGGTTATCTCTGTGTCCGCTGCAACCTACAATAGCTAGTGACATTCAGAAAAAGGGTTTGGTGCGTCCGTAACAACACAAACCTTTCAGATTATTTAAGCTAGGGCGACTCACAAAGCATATTTTAAAAGGTTCGAAGCCGACAGCGGTGGATCGAGGGGGGAAGCTTATACTATACTTCTTATTCATGTTCTGTACTTTGTTTTGCAAACATTTTTTCAATACCTTTGTTTTTATACATGTATTTACCAGGGCTTCCTGATTTCATCGCTTACTCGCATTGTGCCAAGGAGGACAGCTGGACATCATAAATTTGTAAAAGCCCCCCGTTGCCGTCAGATCTCCAATTCCTTGCCACAACGGCTGAGTGCTGGGGCTTCCGTTTCCTACCTCGAGCTTGAAGGGGCTGGCAGGAACCCCAAACCCAGATGGTGGTTGCCAGGCCCGAACACAGACGTGGGAGAGCCGAAGCGCCTTGAGCTGAACGAGATGCGAGGTTCAGCCCGTAACCATCTCGAAGCCCCTATGGCCTTCAAGGCGCCCTTCTTTGTAGTCTTGAAGGGTGCTTGAAGGGTAGTTGCGAGGGGCAGGGTTTGATTCGTGGGCAATCCTGACGCGTTGCCCGAAAAGCCCGCATTTGGGGACACCAGACGTTGCTTGAAGCAAACCACCCCACCTTCAACACTGACTCTCCAAAAACCCAGAGCCTGACCTCGAGCATCTCCCCGGGCCTTCTCTTGGAGTCATGGCCTCCTCACTGGTAAGCTTAGCCTACGAGGGTTCTGATCGAAGATACTCTCTTCTTGGTGTGGGAACTGTGTCGCTGCTGGCTACTTCGAAAACCCTGAATCAAAACTACAGTGCTGGGAAAGTTCCGCTTGCACCATCCGGTCCTGACAAGGATACCTGCGCAGAGTGGACGGATTCGGTGCCTTGCCAGAGACTGTGTTGGGCCCCAAGCCCGAAGCCCAAACCTTGCAGAGGTTTAGGTTTCTGATGTTCTGACATGTCGCAGTGCTTTCGCGCTGTTAAGTGCAGTGTTCCGCTTGTGCGTTTGCCTCTCTCCCTCTCTATGTGTGAGTGGTGCGCGCATGTGTGTGTGTGTGCGTTATTGTATAGAGGGCGGGGTGGTCTTGGACATGCGTTTAGACGCCAATACTTATTGAGAAGATAGAAATTGTCATCGAACTTGCAGGTGCAGAACAACGTGCCTTCTTCTTAAACTGTGTCCTCGGAATTCCTCCGCCCGGACCAACCGACGCATGAGTCCCGCGTCGCTCCAGCTCATGACCTGCATGAGGTTTTTCCTTCCACCAGACTGTCCTGAAGGCTCGACGATGGTGTTGGGCTTCGGGGCCATGGAAGGGGCGACAGACTTAGGGCTCAGAGTCTGGAAGGCTGCAAAATTGAGAAGACAGAGAAGCAAACTTTTCCTTAGTTGTTGGAGGATGTCGATGACATCATCGCTTGCCGATCTCAATGCCCCAAAATGCTTCCCGAGGCAGGATCGAGTACCCGGATTCACTACAAAAACCACGTGGAGGCGGTGTTGGTGACCTCCGGGTCAACCGAGCTGCGTTGGATGGGATTCAAGGGATGTTCGGAGCCCGAGGATGGAGGGCTTTAGGCTGCTTGCGGGTTCAGGGTCTTAGAGTTGAGGGTCGAGGGGGTGAATGTAGGGATTTGAAAAGTTGGGGCTTGTTCGAAATCAGTCCCACCTTGCACAACCTCAACCCCAGAGTCCTTCGATTCGACTTTTGCGACGCTGAACAAGATCCAACCATAACAAAGGGGTTTTCGGCCACTGAAGGGAGAGAGAGGGAGGGTGAGCTTAGGTATGGGGAGCTGGAGCTGCTTCAGCCACACCAGACTGAGGGAGCTGCTCGGCAAGGGCTGGAAGGGCAAGCAGGCTGCCATCGTCCCCTTGCGAAGAAGGTTTGTTAGTGGTTTGTTGCTTAAACTTTAAACATCTGTTTTTTGTTTACAGAGCAATGTGGCTCAAAAGGGGAGGTTTTAGGTTTGCAACCCGAAGCCCTAAACCCTGTCCAACAGCCACTGTCACCTCTGGTATTCGCGGTCATGCTGCCTCGGAAAGGAAAGTTGCTTGACAGGCCTTGCCACAGTGCTGGGGCTGTAGAGTAGGCCTTCGAGACAGGTCTTCTACGAATATCCTATACATAGGTTAGGGTTTGGGTCAGTTATAACCCGAAAGCTCTCTGAAAGGTCACTGAAGCTTTTCCATCTCTGAGCTGACTTGGCCTTTGCTCAGGAGGGCTTTGCCGTCTTCAAGCTGGAGCCAGGAGCACCGGTTGAGGGTTGAACTAAAGGGTATTAAGATTCGCCTCAAAGGCCGGGCCTTCAGCATTTGACATGTTGCGGTCGTGAAAGAGCACCAGCAACGGAACAAAAGCATTACGGGCAGTTTATATACTGTAATTGCGCAGCGACCACGCAGCGTGCCTCAAGCTAGCTCGCAGACAGCGCTCAAATCGTTGTTGTTCTGGATAAGCTTTATTAGAGTCACTTCTTCACCCTTCAGCCCATATATATATATATAAATATCTATCCACGCCGTTTAAGGTATGCACTTTCTGGGACCCTTCCCGCGGGGCCCAGCCCTTCACTGAAGCCTACCAAAAGACTGGCAAAGAGGCTCCTTCTATGGCTTGGGCGGTCAAGAATGCCATGTGGTCCGGGCATCCCCAAATGGTGATCTGTGCGTGCCCCTCGCCAGTGAGAGTTTGGGATTGGGTTTTGAACCGCAAATAGTGCTCAACAATGTTCAGGGGATTACAAAGGATGCCTTTGCTGGAAGGGGTATGTGTGAAGGGCTGCTGTGTTGTTCATCTTGACTTCATGCGAGGTCTTGCGCCTTCAACCCGCCCGTCGATGGCGCGGAAGACCACAACGCAGAAGGCGGGCTTTGGGGTTGGAGTATGACACTCTTCGTGCCCGACCTCTGCGTCACACGGTCGCCAAAGACCTTCAGCTCTAGGTGACCCCGGTATCGACTCTGGGCCCCCGGCATTCGGGCTCGGGTTTTCGTACATCTGAGACGAAAGGTTGAAATCCAGAAGCGTCGCAGAAAAATTGCTGATACGGAAGGGCAGTCCGCTGTTACGGTTCCAAAAGCAGACTTTCAAGAATATCGACGTCTTTGCACTTCACCGGCACGGAGGCGTCTACCCTGCCATTGGGGCCGACGGCGTGCCATTCGGATGAATGATTTCGGCTTGCCAAGTGCGGAGATTCGCCTCCAGGGCTGCCAGCTACTGCAGTTACTACCGTGCAAGGTGAAGGAGTGGATCGGTGCTACTTTACCAGGACAGGTCGCATCACCACCCCCGCCCCCTCAAACCCAACACCCTAAACCCTAAACCCTAAACCCTAAACCCTAAACCCTAAACCCTAAACCCTAAACCTCCTTGCCTGCTAAGAGGCCCCGCTACGGCTTCGCCGAAGCGGAGGTTCCACGGCTCTTCTGCCCACCGGACAGCCTGAAAGGCCCGGGAAAGGGGGTTTAGGGTTTAGGGTTTAGGGTTTAGGGTTTAGGGTTTAGGGTTTACTAAACCCCAGGTGTGGCTTTCGTTGAGCGGTGCATGGAGGGAGCTACGTAGGCTTGCGGGGGGCTCGGGACAGAGGCCTGGGGTCTAGGGTTGTTTCTGGGTAGGGTTTCGATGTTTTGGGGTGTTCTGGATGGTGATAGGGGCATCCTGCTTAGCATCTCATGGTTTTGTTGCCGACTTGTGCCTTAACGGAGCAAGAACTTCTGAGCTTCCCTGAATCCCTATAAGCCCTAAACTTCCTAAACTTTCAGCCCTGAACACGAGCAGGCTTTCTGGATGCCGCCCGGAAGTGCTCGCTCTCCATCCCTGAACCCTATAACCTCCTTTCCAAGTCCCTGAGCGACGCCGAGGTGGCTCGCAAGAGACAAAGCCTGCCCTTCCGCTCACCCTGCAAACCAGGCCCTTCCACCGTTGCTTTGGGTTGGGTTTTGGCCTCATAACATGCGCGTTCTGATGCTGAAGGCCTTATATGGAGGTTTAGGGTATGGGACTCTCTGAGTCAGGGTAGACACGGCTTGCTGGCAGGCCCATGCCCCTAAAACTAAGCCCGCAAGTTCTAGCCTCAACCTTGTGCTCGGGGTTGAGAGGCGATCGGCTTGTTGTGAAGGGGCGTAAACGCTTCCAAGGTGCACCCAAAGAGCCAAGACCTGGTGTTGGGGGTAGTTACGGGTAGTTCATTCCATAAAGCAATAACAGTAAGTGTAGGGCTTCAAATGCAGGCACTCATCAGGGCCCATACCCGCCATGCAGAGCCTACGGAGCTTGGCAGGCATGGTGCCGTGGTGCTGAAGCACCCCTGCGCCGAGGACGGTGCCTCAATGCAACTCCACTGAAGAGGATGATTTCATTGAAACTAGCCCGGGATAATTGCAAGACCCCTCTATCGGCAGCTGCCGGCTCTGAACGAAGGCGACCGTCATGTGTCGGGGCTGATGCTCACGGGGCTCGTCCTGGGGAGAAATCTCGAGCTGACTGGACTCTTTCTTCCAGAGTGGGGGTCGAGTGCTCAAGGTCTCCCACCTTTAGGATATTCTGCGACTTGGAGGGGGGGTTGCGAGCTCTTAAGGCTGGAGGGCCCTGAATGCGAAGACCAGCGTAGGTGGTCGCTGGCCCAAAGCGCCGGCTTGGACGCCAACTCCGCGTATTGCCACTTGGAGTGGATGGATCTTCGGGGTTTCTGGCATGGTTTGGGGCTCTGGGTTGGGTAAGCCGTCTTGGTGATAAGCCTGTTGCGCAAAGGGCTTCCGCCGAAAGGCCTTAGTTCAACCCAGGCGGGCAAGAAGCAAGCCCTGCATCCTGACCGTGCCCAGGCTACATCATCCATTGCATGTACTTCCCTGCGCCCTTGCGGCACCCGGCACTTCATGCACCTGTCAAAAGGGAGTTCTGAAATAATATTGTCCCCTTCTTTATAGTCTGACTCGACGGCCCCTGTAGTAAGGAATCCCCACACACACAACGAGGCACGTCCCAATTTATGTGGGTTTGAACCACCACCTCTTCGCAACCTACTCATGGGCTCAGGCTGGTTTATGGGGATGAAGATCTTATACCTAGACCTAGACATCCTCCTCGTCAGAGCACGGATGTATTTTTGGGGTCAGAGCAGCTGAACCTTCAAAAACAAATCGTGAGTGAGCAAGTAGACACTATAAAACTCCGACTCAGACCACCTGCATGGTGGCGAAGACGTCGGCGGGCCGCGTCGTTGGTTTCGTCCTCGGCTTCACGCCGCCCGCCGAGCCTGACACGTGCCTGAGCGGTTTTGTAGGGTTTTCAGAGCTGGCGGGAGCAGCCACGTTCTAATGCAGGAAGTTAGCAATGCGAATCCACCCGAAAGAACCTCCAAGCCGCAACCTCAACCCCCTAAAGCCAACACGAACGGGCTTGGTACTTGTTTGGATTTGCCTGTTGTGCTGTTTCGTAGTGGCTAGCGGAGTGCAATGCCCTAGCTACCCTTGACTCCCACCCCCCTTTGCCCACCCCCCACCCACCTCAGCACTCACAGAAACAAGGTTACGAAACTAGAGGGCCCTAAAATAGACCCCCAAGTAGTCCCTTGTGATACGGACCCCCATTAAGGTACCCTTAATTCCAGGTACTTCGCCTGGCAGATCGCCGTGGACAGCGAGTTCCGGCGCTGCCGGCTGGCGCTGACCATGCTGGAGGCCTCCCGCAAACTCAAAGTTCTTAACACCCCTAGGCCCTTAACCCTAGGCCCGCAATCCTCCTTCACCCAAAGCCGGCTAAGGGAACTCCGTCCCTGAGCAAGATGTTCGCAATCTGCTCCCCTTGTTGGTTTGGTTTTTGTTGAGGATCCAGAGAAACGGATAGCCCCCAAGTACAAACCCCCTGATCTAGAGCAGCCCCCCACAGAAGGTCACAGAGTGAGTTTATCTTCCCCACACCCTAAACTCCGGGTGGTCACAACAGAAACCCGACGTTCAGGCACTGCGCCAGCGCGTAGCCGCGCGCTTTGTGACCGCGTCGGCGACCTTGGCAAGCGCGACGCCGGCGCTGCTGGCCGGCCGCCCAATTCAGCGCGGGGCGCTGTAGACCCGAAAGCCAAAACCCTGATATGAGCCAGCATAGCCGCACCCCCCCCCCCCCGCCCACTCCCGCCCCTGTGGTTCATGGTGGGTTTTGGGTTCCCCCCCCCACCCCCGTGTTTCATGGTCTGTGGTTCATGGGTTTAGGGTATAGGGTTATAGGCTGCAGAGTTCAGGACTTTCGCTCTGACCCCCTTGGTTCATTGGTTCACGGTGGGTTTATATAGAGTTTAGGGTTCAAGGTTTGGTGTAATGGTAGGTTTACGTGCTGGGTTTACGGTTCAGGGTTAAAGCGGTTCAGGTTTCGGGTTTGCCCTTCTCCCCCTGTGGTTCATTGGTGAGTAGTTTAGGTTTGAAGGCTTTGGGGTTCAGGGTTTGGGGTTGAGCTTGCGGGTTTCTCTCTCCCCCCCCTGTGGTCCGTGGTGTTTTAGGGTTAACGGGCAGGGTTTGGGGGGGGTACCAGTGGGGGGAGGTTCGATTGCGCGGGCAGACAGAACCCCTACAAACCCCTTATAACCCCCCTCGCACCATACTTTGAGGCCTCCCTGGCCGCCGCAAATGACACCAGCCTCGAGAAGAAGGTTGGCTGGCTGCCGGAGCCTTGAGCTGCGAGTAGTTCAGTGGGGGTGTACGCAATGAGCCATGTGATTCCAATGCCACAGCCCGCAACCCAAAGTCCCAATGCAGCGCAATCCGGGTACCCCCACCAGTCCCCCCAAAGCCCCAAAAACTGCAATATCCGCAAACCCTCGAGCCCCTATAAGCAACTGCCTAGGAGGGCATGTTCCCAGCGACTTCGCCTGCTCCGCCAGAGACCCTGCACCCCGAAGCATTTCGTTTGAGGAACCTTACTGGTCCCCTAAACCCTACAAGTCCTAAACCCTAAATGCCTGGTTGGGTTTCAGGGTTTAAGTCTTCAAAAAAAATGCACGGGGCTGACAGTTTTTTTTTTGGGGGGGGGGTCAGGGTTGATGTGGATGGGGTCTTGTCTACTCTTTCGGCACCAAGCGTGTCAGCGACAAGTGCAGCAGGTAAAGGGCTGGGGTAGGTTTGGGGGCCCTATAAAAATGGCTGTATAAAGATTAGATAGGGGATTACGCGTAATAACAATTTAACAATGATGTTCATGTATGCAGTACTTTGGTTTTTGGTATGCAGTACTTTGGTTTTCTGATGCCGGGCACGAGAGGGAGAATGCTGTGCGGCCATGCACTTGCCTGCGTTTAGGGTTTAGTGTTTAGGCCCTGCAGCAAAGGGCACGCCCTAAACCCGACAGTGGGGCTGCAGCACACGCTAGCCCTATCCGAGTCCGAGATTAGGATGCCAGGGGCTTGAGCATTCAGCATTTAGGGGGCTTCGCCCCGAAAGACCAAAGAAGGTACGTGGTGGGGCCCCTGGGCCCGGAGCGGGAACCTGAGCGTGCAGGCCTGGGCTACAGAGTAGGAGACGTATTCCGACAGCTGCTTCAGATTTCCCCATTGCTTGTCTATCTGTAGTCTTGCATTGCTCTTTTGTCGTTTTATCCTTTTCCGATGTCACTGTCGCAACTTGCAAGTAACATTCGTAAGTCAATGAGCAAGCCATTTGCAGGACAGCATATGTTGTATTATGTGTATATATATATAGGTATGACAGACACGACATGGCCTGATGCTGCATAGGATCTGTGCCGGGCATCCGCCAGCCCAGCCCCTACGCCACGCGCGGCTCGCAGAGCGGCGCCGTGCTGCGAGTGCACCCCGTGGTGCCCAGCGGTTTAGGGGTTTGGGGTTAAGGGTTGATGTAGGGTTTGGGGTTTAGGGTCTTGCAGGGTTTGTAAGGGTGGGGTTTTGGGCCTTTGGGGGCCGGACTGCCAGGGTGGGAGTTGCGTGTGGCAGTGAACTGAAAGCCGCAGGTGTGGCCTGGGCACTTGAGCAAGCCACTCAGCCAAGCATTGTGCCTTGCCTGATGTATATTTCGGCTGTTGTTTTAGAAAGTTGTTGTTGTTGCTTTTATTAAAATCTAACTTAAACAACGCAGCATGAACTCCAAAACGGTTCTCCTCGCTTTGGAGCACAAAGGTTGAATGCTTATGAGGAGCAGGCCGGGCTCGGATCACTTGGGTGTCAGGACTTAGCATGCTGATTGGCTATTGGCTCTGTTTGATGAGGTCGTGTGCTCCGCCATCTAGGCTTTGGGCCCTCCTATACAACCTTTAACTGTCCCAAGCTCTCCCCATATATGCCCTGCTTGACTCACGGCACCCTAAACCGCAGGGATTTTGCATACTCCGCGCTGTCGTTCCACGGGAGCAGATCGAGGCGCAGGGGGTGAGCATAGGCTTGGCGGGCGCTCGCTGGGCATGGACTGAAAGGGTTTGCTACACTGTATTTGGAAATAACGTCGATAGACTTAGTTGGTGATCACTTGTGGTGACAAGGGACCATTGCAAGACATTCTGGGCAGTTGATTGGGGTACACAGGGCTTGCAGGCTTTCGAGTTCAGTTTGTGAGCTGCTTCTTAGGGCTTGCATTCATATCAGGGCTGCTAGGGTGTGTGTGGCTCAAAGGGATCAGGGTGCATCGCTTGTGGATGTTTCGGGGTTTAGGAGTTTCGGCGTCCGAGGCCTCAAACGTTTGGGAGGCTCGGGGCAGCTCAGCAATTCACTGCCTACATGTCGGCTTCGTAGTACTAATAGTAATCTTCATATTTAATACTTAGTTATATATACTGATAATATTCCATGGCCATGGCCTCAATGGAGCAGGTCAGAGCTCAAGGTGTTAGGGTTGTGGAAGGGTTTCGGGTTGCATGCACAAAAAAGAAGGGAAATCACACTGGGCCCATGGAAGCCTCAAGAACCCCCCATATGCCCTAAACCTCAAACGGTCCGACCCGGTTTTGGATAGGGTTGGGTTCGGATGTAGCGAGAGAGATCACAGTGCGACAGGCTTGCCACAAGTTCCTGGATGGCCAAGTGAAGTCAGTGAAGGAACCGCAAGGGGCCTCAGAGGGCGCGGGGGGGGGGGGCGGGGGGGAGGCTCAGGCTTTAAGGGATCAGAGCCCAGGGTGGTAGGGAGGCGTGTCATCAGGGTCTATGGTGGGAGCTGAAAATGTACAAAGTATGTCCCTTAAGCCCCTTTTTTGTCACACGAGGCTGTCATGGCGGCCTTGGACTATTCATGCCTCGCCCGGACCCGAAGACTAAGCAAGTCGAAGCCCTTAAACTCCTTCTTGCTTCTCTGCCTAAACCCCAAACCCTAAACCCGTTTCAGACCAAGGTCGCGAGTGGATGCTTCCTGCCGCCTGGTTACGGAGGCCGGGTCTTCGGCACTTCGCAGCATCTTCGCCGTGCACGAGGCCGAGCTTGCAGAAAGACTTTGGAGTTTAGGGCCCACAAAACCACTGGCAGTTTCCTGTGGAAGTGTACATCTCGGCGAATGCCCACATCGACACATTAACCTTGACAGTTTGGACTGCATCTGTGTCCGACTTGCGCAGGAAAGGTTGTTCTTCTTTGAAGGTTTGGCACGATTTGTTGGCGCTTGGCACTTGGCGCTTGGGTTTACACTTCTCGGACAGATGTTCAGCCCTGATCTACTGCCGCACGCAGCATTGCGGGTCCTGGCTTGTGCGGGGACAGGATGCCGACAGCCCCGTAGCGGAGCTCGCCACATCTCCGTTGATCACGCAGCGCCCCGGCTGTACTTGGGTCTGGCTTCAAGAGTTCTACTCTGTTTTGCAAAAGAGGTGGGCAGTGGAAACTTGTGGCGCAGGGGTCCACCTCGAATGTTGATTGGGCCGACTCTCACTCTCAATCCCCACCCTATCCTGCGTATGGTTTAGGGCGTATTCTTGGGTGACACGGACGTCTTGGGGTTGTAAGATTCAGGTACCCGTAACGTTGAGTCTTTCTTGTTTTTCCAAGAACTTTCTATGGCACGGTCCTTTGCATCCTGCCTCTCAGACGGCCTTGGTTCTGGGCTCAAACGATTCCTTTCTCACCCCGAAACCGTGAGAGACCCCGGAACTGGTCAGAAGTGCACTTTGCCTTGGGGGTGACTTCTTCTGGCGGGTTTAGAGTATAAAGTATAAAGTTTAGAGCCAGAGGCAGGACATAGCAGGCATAGCAGTTAAGAAGCTTCCATGCGAGCAAGGTTTGCGAGGCAGGTTCTGGCGGACGATGTGTACATCCACCAGACGCCGGTCTGCAAGAGCTTCAACAGGGGTATAGGTGTGAACATGTGAACATATTTGTTACTTGTTATTGCCCTCTCGAATCCTTAGCCACAAAACTTTAAAATTTCATAGGGCCCCCCAAACCTACTCCAGTCAACAACCCAGTCAAGGCCTTCCTTCAACAAACGTTGGTCACCAAGGATTGGGGCTTCAAGGCTTTTTCTGAGGCTCTTAGGTTGGGCTCTTCCCCCGTTTACTAGCAGTCCTTAGTCGCGATGATAATGGGGGGTACTAGAATCCCTGTTAATGACGGCTAGTATAAGCGGGAACATCCCAACTCTTAGGCAACTCTTAGGGCCTTAGGGGCTGACAAGCTTACATGGCCTTCAGAAAGATAGCCGAACTTAGTCGCGCTGCATCCAAAACACCCGAAGTTTGCAAGCTTGCGAAGAGCAGGTGTCAGTGTCAGTGTCACACAGACAGCCAGTCAGTGTGTGTGTGTGTGTGTGTGTGTGTGGCTGTGGCTGTGGCTGTGGCTGTGGCTGTGGCTGTGGCTGTGGCTGTGGCTGTGGCTGTGGCTGTGATTGTGGGCGTGGGCGTGGGCGTGGGTGTGGGTGTGCCCAGACACTTCCCATCATGTGCGACAACCCAAGAAATGAGGGGAAGGCCTAGGTGCATGTGTTGATATGTCTGCGCCAGTGTATCTGTTCTCTTTCTCTTTCTCTCTCTCTCTCTCTCTCTCTCGCTCGCTCGCTTTGCGAGCTCTTCTTACCTACTGGCATGTACCCACACATGTACACTATCTCTCTCTTTCTCTATATATATATATATATATATTTATATTGATATTCTCAAGTTCGGAGCCATACGCACACACAGCCACTGCGGGCATCCCCTAAAAGGTGAAATCCTCGCGAGCTGGCATCAGCAAAAAGCCCCCTGAATCCCAGGTCGAGGGTCAACCTTCAGACAGCCTTCAAGGGCGCGGGCTTCTCCTGGCATAGCCTCTCCGCCTGGAATCATTTCAATAGAAACAGCTTCCGAGGGAGGGGGCGACGCGATGCGCGCAGGACAGCAGGCAGCACAACACTCAAGACCACGTGCAGAGAGCACACATATAAATAAGAATGAGATAGAATGAGGATAATAATAATAAGAAGAATATTAATAATCATAAGTCAGACAAATTACAATGGTAGCACACCATGTTGCTGGTGGGCTTGCGAAGTTCGGGCTTCCTGGTTTCTGAAAGGACGACTGGGTGAAGACGACCGAAATGATAAGGATTGCCGCGGACATTCACGCATTTTCCCGAGAACAAGGTACCTCAAAACGCTTGCCCCCCCAAAAAAGAAAGCCCTACCTGAACACACGGGCCGGCCATCCTTGAGGAAAGAACTGCATGTGCTTGTTTTCTTGGTTTCATAGATCTGGCTTTCGCAATTTGGCAGACCAGGAGGGCGCATCCCTTCCTTGTGCGGGCGCAAGGGGCAACGAGCGAAAGAGACTGTTTCCACGCCTTTTGGGGTTGTTATAGGTGTTTCTTTAAGTGGGGTTTAGGGCTGAGGGCTTTGGATGATTCAGGAATGGGGTCAACAAAAGAAGCTGCGAAGGTGACTTCGAGACCTGGCACGCCGAGGACGCGCCGCGTGGGAGGGTTGGGATGCTTTCCCGGTGTTGCGCTAGTCATCCCTTCAGGAGGACCCAAAAAGCTGACTTTTCTTTGTCAAGCTCCGCACTGCACATGGCTTAGAATTCATATGGACACGGATCCCTCAGAGCTCAAAGCTCAGAGCTTGAGAAGATCCCAGGGCAACCTGTACAAAGCTCTTTGTGCGCGTGTACGTGCCCCCAAAAACTTGGCCGTGCGAGATGTCCAAGGCAATGTTCCAGCATGCATCCGTGGTTTCTACCACTGACTCTCAGCATTCGTCTGTCCTGTGAAATCCAACTTTGCTTTCCATCATGCTCGCCCATCCAAGCTTTCTTAACCGTTGCATGTGTTGTAGACTCAAGTACTTGTAGCACAAGCATGACAATGTCATTGCCCAAGACCCCTCAATCTCCAATCCGTTCATGTGAGAACACCTACCCATGATCAGCTGAGCCCTAAACGGCTGCCCCTGAAGCTCTGGGAGGATGGCATGCCCTGCCCTCGCAGTGCCTCAGTCGTGGTCTACTTGGACAAGAACGCCCGTTGGCCCAGTGGGTGTAGGGTTTTGTGGCGGAGCTTGCTGTAAGAGGGTTCGAGGTTTGGTGGTAACGCTGCTGCTGTAAAATGGGCTCACGGTCTAATCATGGTTTTGGTGCATGGATCCGAGCAACAAATCGACAACCGACTTGGGAGAAAGGTTCAGGCATTGAGGGGCGTAGCTTCAAATGTCGCGCAGATGTTGATGTATGCTAGCCGGAGTGAAAAGCAGAGGGCACTACCTGGACTCCCGAACGCAGTTCCTATGTGGGACCTCTAATGATATACTTCATATATACAGATGCTACCGCACATCTTATTGGTTTGCAGACGGAGTGCTTCATGTGGGTGCTTGGTGTGGACGCTTGGAGCAGCGAGCATTCATGAAGAAGCATAAGTTGGTTCGAATTTTGGGCTCTGTGGCAAACACCGGTGCTATGCCTTGCTGTGGGAGCCTAGCTAGGCCTGCCAAGCCACAAGTGACAACTCGAGTGCGGAATTCTGAAGTCATTGCTTGCTCTGCTCCCTTAGAACGGCGGAGGTAGAGAGCAACGGCGCATTGAGCCTTGGCAGTGCCTGTGCAAATGGACTCTGGGCTGAGGGAGCCTGAGGCTACGAGGTGCGGATAGAGGACAAGTCTGTTGAGGCTGAAGACACTTGTAGAGAGACCAGAAGGTGTAGATGTCCAAGAACACGCCGCATGTTCTTTTTCCCAAAGGAATCTCAGGACTTTCGACAGGAGGGTGGTTGGGTGTTGATGTAATTAAACTTAAACACCCAAAGCCGACACATCATCCGACCTCCTTGCCTCATAGAGTTCAAGCCGAGGATGGTTGTGCCTGGCTCGCACAAGAGCTTCCTTCGCTGCCGCGGTCGGCAGGAATCACTGCTTTCCTGAGTCAATGCCTTATATACTCCAATGCCTTGGAGTTCGGACCTGTTTTCACGAAGCACTTTGGTTCTCAGCATCGAGCTCTCTGTGCCCAGGGCACTAAACCCTAAACCCTAAACCCGGTCGATCAGCAATAATTATAGTGTGGCATTGGGAACCGCAATTCGCAGACTCTACACTTTCTGGCATCATGGCAAATAGTCTTCTCTAGTCTTTTCCTGTGGCTTTTATCTTCGAGAACCTCCTTCCAAGCCAGGACGGCGCAAACTGGGAGAAGTCCCTGCAATCACAGGCGCAGCTGAAAAAATGGCAGAAGCCGTTTCCCTTTTTGGGGCAAGTTGGTGGCACACAGCTTTTCCGCACACCTATGGTATCTAAGAAGAAGCAGCTCCGATGTCATACCCGCGGCGAGGAAGACCACAACAGAAGCAACTTCCCGTTTTCCAGAGAGAGTGTGGGGTGGAGAGCTTGGCGAGAGTTGAGCTGCTTGGAATCTAGAACCTGAAGTACCCCTATGTACTACACATGAAGTCTCCACCGGGTTTAATTGGAGTTTGCGATCCAACTTTCATGCGACAAGGAATAGAGCTTCTAGCTTACAGGCGTAAACGCCCCGTTGCGCAAGACCCCTAGAAGGAACCCTCCCCCCCCCCCCCAACCAAGCCAGAAAGAAGGTACCCCGATGTTGGGCACCCTCCCCAAAAGCCTTGTTCCAAACCGTTGCTAGAGTTCGTTTGCCTGCTCAGACATACGGCACGCCCGCGGATGAAGTCCCCAGCTCAGCTTCTCCCTCGGAAAATCACCCCACTCCCAAACTACGGAAAGCTTGGAAGCCCGGTGGCGCCCTTTTCCCATTTGTTGGTCATAAGGTTCCCTTATGAAGAAACCAACCCCCCAAAAACGGGTACCCTTATTGAAATATGGCTACTGGGCTACCAAGAAGGTCTTGGCAGCTCAGAGGTTGTTAAGGTCCAGGGTGGCCATCAAGAACTGTGGGCACAGGGCGTTTCGTGGTACGAGGCTTGGCAGGTGATGTTGCGAATGCTAAGTGGTCGGAGGTGCTTCGTTCGGCATGCTGGTGGTATTTCATCGTTCAGCTGAGGTTGCTCTAGAGTTCCATTACGATGCCTCATGTAGCAGTCCTGTGTGATTGAAGTCGTAGAGGGCTTTTTCACTCCTCGGCTTCGGGCGTTAGGGCTTCGGTATTGGGCCGCACGTCTCAATGTGGAATCCGCAGAATGAAGGGCAACTGCCTGTGGAACATCAACAGACGAAATAAAGCTCTTCAAAAAAGAGAACATCCTTTTCTTGCAGGGGGGCCGGAGTCGACAGTGTTTGGGGAGAGGGAGGGTACCCGATCAACCCACCAACGAACTCCCATTCGTGGGCTGCTTTTCAGGACATCCGGGCGCAAGCAGATAAGCATGGCATCCAGCACTGTGTGGGCGAAGCCGGCGACGTGCCTCATCTAACATGGGGGCCTTAATAATAATTGGAGCAGGGTTTTGAGGGTTGTAAGCGTATAATAGAATAGGGACCACAAGGGAACACTATTAGTAATTTTGTCCGACCCCTAGATTACAGTCCTGGTGTTGGGATCGTTGTGTGGAGGTTGAGGTTTTTTTTTGTGGTTCTGGCTGAGTCGATTTGCAGGAACCTGATGCAAAAACTTACGAACCCTGGAGCCGTGTTTTGTTGTGGGGTATTGAATTCTTTCCAACCACTTCGAAGAATATTAGCCAACCCTGCACCAAAAGATACGGCTTTTGGTTCCTACTTCAGGTGTGGCAAGCACGAGTTTGGATGTTTTGAACTGGTGACCGTTCGGAATTCTTCAGACTTCAGTGGTGTTTGGGGCGCAGAGTTGGGTTTACTGTGGTTCTGCCAATTCTGCAAAAGCGCTTCGGCATTTCCGCAGAGCGCTTTGGGGTGGATCTGGGTCCGCAGATTGTGCTTCTGGATGCCAGCTGCCCTTGTCTCTCTGTCGGTTCCTTCAAAGACTTTGGGCGGTGCTTTCGATGACGACAAAAACCTCCAAGAGCAAGTCGACCGACCAAACCTCACAGATAATACAGCTACATATATATATATATATATATATATCATATATATATATACAGATACGTATATATCGTTGGACCTGCTTTTTTATGTAACCCCCCACCCCCCAGGCCGACGAGACGAGGACCCTGAATAAAAAAATAATAAACAGTGGGGCAGGGAAGGGGTCAGGAGATTGAACCAGATCTCAAACTAAGAACTTGGACCTCAAAACCAGTAAAAAACAGTTACGGCCCGAAAACTCTACTTTATAGCAAACCCCCAAAACAAAGGGCCAAGATCCTGAATAGCCGAAAAACTTTTCATAATAGCGTCCCCCGAGAATATTGCGGGTGCAGCAACATTATATTTTTCTATATTTGTATATGTATTTTAATATAAACAATATATACATATACATATACATATACATACACATACATACATACATACATATAGAGTAGGGTAAAGCCCAAGCCCTTGTTATTTCTTCAACAAGCCGCCGCTCCTCCCGGGAAGCGGACCAGAGTCTCCAAATCGCCGAGTCCAGGTCCTGATCTTTGATTCGAACCTGTTGCATGCATCGTGCGGGAACCGATCACCATGGAGCAGGAGGAGCCGGGACACACCGGTGTAGGGGATGGTTTTTTCAGAGTCATTCCAGGTGGACCCGCTTGGGATAGGGGCACCCTTTCTTGAGGGTTCCTTTATTCAGAAGGATCATCGTATCTTGGGCCGCATCACGGGCACCCCCCCCCCCCCCCCCTCCCAATTTTGGAAAATACCCATTCTTGGAGTGCAGTGACTTGAGGCTTGGGTTCTATGGAAGAGAGTATACCAGATCAAGGCAAGCAAAACATGGTACTTAGATGTTGCATAGAGGCCGCTGATACAACCAAGTGATGTCTAACCCCGGATCCGTGAACTTGGACGCAGAGCTGGTAGTCTTGGAAGGAATCTGAACTCTGCCCAAAGAAGTCTGTCAAAGAGACTGTGTGTGGTGTAAGATGTTAAAGTGTCAAGTTTAAGGTTCGGATGCTTTCGGCTCTGTGCGGCTTGCGTGTAATCTCCTTAAGAGGCTTTGTTGCGGGGGGAGGGGGAGGGGGGAGGAGGGGAATGAAAAGACGTCTTGAGGATTTGAGATTCTCGCTATACTTACCCTAAACCCGAAACCCTAAACCCAAAACCCAAAAGCAACTTAATTCTGGAAGCACCGGCTCTGACGGTGTTCTGTGCTCCACACGCGGGGCCCCTCCGAATCCGAAACCTGGGCCTGACAAGAAATCTCTTCGTCGCCTTCAACTCCTGGGAGAACCGGCTGCAGGCGCCCTTCTATTCCGAGGCCCGCGCTGACTTGCACGAAACATGCCAGAATGACCTCTCGAATGATGCATAGAGAGTCTTCCGGATCTCTGCGCCCGAATTATGGTGTCAGAGTGTATAGGCTCTTGGGCTGCAAATTTTCGAAGTTGCAGAATCAACTTGATGCGCCTGGCAACACGCAGGTCCCGCGTCCTGAGCACGTGGCACACCGCGAGCGCCTGACGCGGTTCGGGGCCACCGAGGGCTGAGCGAAGCAGATTCAGGGTAGTCTAGGGAATCTATAGAGCTTGTAAGGGGTTCCAGCCCTTGTTTACAGGGCTAACGGCTCACTGGATATGTTTAGGGTTTGTGATGCGTGCAAGCGACACTTGGTCGCTCCGCTAGGGTTCATGAACGGTACATAGGCCATTATAGGCCAGGTTTAGTCGCCGCCTGCAAAAGTGAGCTCGGAAGGGCGCGGGCGAAAAGAAGGCAAGCTCACTCAACAATTCCTGTGCTGTCGCAGCGGGCACACGCGAGAGCACGCGGATTCGGCTCTGTGTTGCCATGGCCCTCGGCGATGGCAATGTTGCTTGTAATTAAGACAACAAGCAAGAAGAGCATGAATAAGGAAGGGAGCAGAAGATCTAGCGTGGATGCATATCGCAAGTAGATTGGCTGGTGTGACTATGCCTGTGTTTGCTAAATGTGTCGCAAATGTGCCGCTGGCCAGGTTTTATAACGTGTTTATATCATGGTTACTACGATAAAGGTGCCAATTGCAGTGTAGCCTGTACCGGAACCAACGAATGTACCGTTGCGACGTGGTGAGAATGATCCACCTGGATGTGTTACGTTATGATGGTTAGTTCCTCTTTTGTTTGCTTATGTACAAGGTGCGTCGAGTGTGTACCACAGTGCTTATGTGGCTGAGAAGCGCATTGTGGTGTGGGATATGTGGCCAAGTTTTGTTTGAGGTTCAGGGTGTATACGCGCCACGCTCAATGTTCAAGTTAGACAGCTTCCTCTTAAGATTCCAATGTTCAAGCTAGACAGCCTTTTTTCTTAAGATGCCCTTGAGATGGTGGAGGGTCGAGCATCCCTACACCCTAAACAGCCCTAAAAAACCCTAGCGGCCCTAGAGTCCTCCACACAGCGAAGTTCGACATGCTCGATGATCGCGCAGCTGGCTCATGCGCTAACATTTTTCTACACAGGAACAAGGCGAAGCACTCATCGCAAGCATGCAACGGTCAACGATGTGATTGGGGGTGGAGGAGTCCCTTGCAACACCAGCTTCTTTCAAGAGAGAGCCAAATTGCTGCACCTTGCATAAAGACTTCTTGCAGCCCACATCGCCGCACGGAGAGCCTTGAACCACCGCCCTGGCCTTCTCAGTCGATAGCATTCAGATTTGACCCACTCACTTGTGGCATCCTTTGTATAGCTCGCAGCCATGAGCTCCAGGTGCGTGGGGTGGGAGGGGGGGGGAGGGGGGGGAAGAGCTGGTTCTTGTGCCATCTTCGGCCCACGTCTCGTAAGGCGCTAGGAAGCCCGGTGGTGCCCTTTTTTCGTTTATCTTGGGGGTCCTGGTGCGCAGAACTATACTAGTATACTCTTTTGGAGTATGTTTGCTGTGCCCTAAACCCGCAAACCGCAAAAAAACCCCAAGGCCGGATGATCGTAAGGCTTGCTGCAGCTCTTCGAAATCTTCATTGTGATGATGGTGATTGTTGCTCTGCTATGGTCATGGTGCTGCTTTCATTGATGGTGCTGGCGATGACTAATGATTCATATTCCCATTATCCTCTCGCTGTGGCAGTTCTCGTGGTCCAAGTTATCCTAAGCCTGGCATCGGGTTTACAAGTTATCCTAAGCCTGGCATCGGGTTTACGCAGGAATCGAGCTTAATGCACTTGCGGGGCTGCAAGGCAGAGCTTCGTTAAACAGTATGCAACATTATAGCGACTGCACATATGTTCTCCCAGATACAAGATGCATTTGCACGTACCTAATGTGCTGGGCAGGGCTTGGGGGAGAGATCGCCGGCGAGAGAAGCACACTCAGCAAGAACTCGAAGACAAGAGGGGTAAGGCCCTGGGTTGGCACTTTACGCTTTGATTTGCCATGGTGGAAGTACGTCACTCCGGCCAAGCCGCGACGTCTGCGGATGAGAAACTGGACCTCATCCTCCGTCGGTTGGACGAGACCTCGCCTGCAACCAAGAGTGTTTTGGAAGCCATCGCCTGTCAGCTTTGTCAGCTCAACCTTGCAAACCTAGACGAGCCCAAGCAATTATGTGCAGAGCCCCGCTATCTGAAACATGTTCCTTCCAGTGGGTCATGTGAGGTGTTGGCTCTAGAACCCCAAAGGTCCAAAAACCACGGGCTCTCTTGTGGTCGACTCAAACGTCTCTGCCATTGCTGTTTGGGTTAAACTTCCAGCTCACAAGCCTGAACCAGTAAAATGAGGGCATCTTAGCAGGCACTTGGGTCCCACGGTTACCCCCGATTCTTGACCAACGAACCCCAGACTGTTTTTCGGTGGGCCAATTTAGGGAAGCTTCCCGAAACCCTGGCTCGAAGTTGGGAGCCACCTCGAGCCCCTCATGGGGGTTTACGCACATAAGGGGACCCCCAACATACACCCCTAAAAGGTGGGGGCTTCCCTTACAAGCACCCCCATAAGGTGCCCCGAATTTCGGAAGCCCGCATACGGACCTTGAAGCCCCCAAAGGCTGAGATCCCAGAACGGAGCCGCAAGTTCCGCG